ACCTGATTCTGCCCAGCTTCTCTGCACTGGCGGGAGACTGGCCGTGTCCTCCCTCTGGGCCTTTGCCTCTGCCTGGGTCAGAGGAGAGGGCTGGCTAAGCTGATCACGGCGCAGCCTCCTGGTGCCGTCGTGTGCATGTAGGGGTGGACAAGGACTGTAAACGCATGAAATTCTCTCTCCTCTCAGCTGAAGCACAGAACCCCGGGGACTCCCGATCTAAGCCCCGGATGCTCTCTGTGCCTAACCTCTCTGTTCCTTCATTTGGTACAGATCAGCAGCACTGCTCTCTCAGCGGGCTGCAAAGCTGGAATGAGCTTCTGGGTGCGAGGTTCTTGGAGCGGCACCTGCTGGCTCACGGCCGGTGTTCAGAGTGTGCGAGCTGCCATGAATTATGTTGTGGTCTGCACGCTTACCAACAGCGCTGCCCCCCAAAAACCCCATGAGAGGATGACTCCTGGAAGTCCCTCCTAGAAGCCCAACCTCACAGAGATGGAAAGGGATCCCCTTCCCCTTCCAGACCTGGGCTTGGGCACTCAGGAAGGGGCTGGGTGGCAGGCCTGGTCATTTCTCGTGCAGAAGTCTGGTTTCTACACTAAAGTGATCTAACCAAAGGCCGTCTCAACCCTGGATGCATTCAGTCCCTATGTGGGGTTCCAAGATGCCCACACACGTATAAGAATGAGCAGGCGCTCAACTCCCGTGATGGCTCACTATTGGTAGAATCCTTCATCTGAGTGTGGTGGGGTGGGGCGTGGGGTGCCAGAGGGATGAAGGGTCAAGGTCATAGACTGGAAGACCCCCTCCTTCCACTCCTCTGAGCCGTGGCAGCGTAAAGCTTTGGAAGCAATGGAAATAACCCCAAGTCGCTGACCCCGCCTGCCTCGTTCCCATCTGTTGTGCCCCTTGTTGCAGCAGTTCTGTGGGATTATGGCTAAGTGTCCCTCTGAGGGCCAGGACAGTCTCCAGTAATCCCTTCCTGGCAAAGAAAGGCCACAACAGTGGAAGGCACTGTGGTGTAGTGGATAAAGCCACCACCTGCAGTGCCGGCATCCCATATGGGCACCTGTTCGAGTCCTGGCTGCTTCAGTTCTGATCCAGCTCTGTTACGGCCTGGGGAAGCAGTGGAAGATGGACCAAGTCCTTGGGCCCCTTCCAGGAAGACATGCAATAAGCTCCTGGCTTCGAATCAGCTCAGCTCCGGCTGTTGGGGAGTGAACCAGCAGATGAAAGACCTCTATCTCTCTCTGCCTCTCCTTCTCTCTCTGTGTAACTCTGACTTTCAAATAAATAAATCTAAAAAAAAAAAAAGAAAAAGAAAGGCTAGAGGCTTCCCGAATGTTGGGTGTGACAGACACTCTGCCTTCATTTCTCAGTGTCCCCTAAGAAGAATACACTTCCACGGAATGAAATCCTGAGCTCTGCCCCAGACGTCACACTCTAATACGGCTTGGAATTGAGCAAAGGAGGGAGTAGGAGCAGTGGAGGGCGGGAACCTGTGGAAGCGTCCTCCCGGTGGTCAGCCCAGGACTGCCCTTCGTGCACTGTCAGAGACTTGGTAGACGCCTACGCCCTCCCCATGGATGTGATTCACATCGGAAAGAATCACGCCAGCAGAGAACATTCGCCCGTCCGCCGGCGTGCGCACCTGCTAAAGTGAACATTCCAGAAAGCAAATAGAGCAGAGCCAACTTTCCCAGCCATGTGAGAACTGAGAGGAAAATGCTTCCAGCCCCAGAGAGGCTGGCCGCTGCCTGGATCCTACTGCAGGGGCTGCAGGGTTCATCTCCCCTCAGCTGGAGTGCGAGACCTCCAGGGATGCCCCCTGCCCTCGCCCTCCCTGGGCAGTCCTCATCACCTTGGGAGCAGCTAGGATCTCCTGGGTCTCGCTGTGTGTGTGTTTGTGTGTGTGTGGGGGGGGGGAGGGGCGAATGCTGGGGGCCTCTAATGCCTTGTGCTTTCAAACGACAAAGAAGGTTCCAGAAACAGCTGACGCTGATGGGGACTTGCTAAGCGCTGAGCTAAGCCTCTCACCTGCATTTTCAACATTTCATTCACATGAGGCAGATACTGTCATCAGGTTTTGCAAATGAGGAAACTGAGGTTGGTTTCTCCCTTGTCAGAAACGTCCTATATTTTTAATGTGTACAATGGACTTAATTTTTGCTGAATAATAAAGCCTGCCAATCACCATGAGAAGAAACAAAACAAAAAAACCCACGAAAACCAAACGGCCCTCTGCAGGGAAGCAGTGCGCGGCCCAGGGACGGCGCGCTCAGAGCCGTTGGTGATTATCTGGTAATGGGCAGATAATCTGCACAGACTCCTGCAGCGGGTCTCGTGTGGAAACGAGACCCAGAAGGATGGAGACGCCAGCTCCCGGGGTCTTGAGCACCCGACTCTGGGTGCAAACGTCACCAGACACAGCCCGGCAGCTGAGGCAGATCCTGCTCCTGCTCCTCCCTCCCTTCCCCTCCAGGGGGCCTCCCACCTGCATCCCTCCCCTTTTTGAAAGTGCTGGGCCATGTCCGTGCTGAGGGATGGGTGATTGATGCCCTTCTATTCAGCAAGCAGCCCCGCACAGAACTGGCGTGGAAGGTGGAGGGCGGGGGAGAGGGGGGGCGGCAGCAGCAGGGGAGCCCTGCAGGCCCTCCAGGCCTGGGCAAAGAAAGCAGCAGTGGGCGGCTCTGGGACTGCACCTGTTTGCTCTGGTGGGAGGAGGGAGCAGGCAGCGGCTCCCGAAAGGCTCCAGGATGACCGGCTGGAGGGGCTGGGCAAGGCTGGTGCCCTCAGTGTCCTGGCTGCTCTGCTACAACCTGCCTCTTCCTGCTTCTCCATCTTCCCCAAGCTCTTCTCCATGGGAGGGGAGGGGGCGGCTTCCTGAGTCAGTGTGCAGACGCTGAGCCTGCTAGGGCCTTGGAGCCCAGCCTTCGTGGCTGCAGAATAAAATGTGGAGAATGGAGGATCTCACAGGGGCAGCACTGGGGCTCAGCTCTGTGTGTGACCCTTCCCAAACACAGGATGCCGGCTGGAGGCCCCACTGACGCACATATCTGTAATTTCCACGAGACCATGAGCCATGCCCAGCCCCACGTACACACACAGGGGGCCTAGCTCAGCCCCATTCTTCACACATGGCAAGCACTCCATATTTGCTGAATGAATCATAAAAGGTCATCTCATTCTCCCACGAACCTGGTGCCCAGCACTGCCCTGTTCCGGGTGCTCTGGCAGGATGCTGCGACGCTGCCCCAGCATATAAGGTGGAGGATTCTCTCCATGACACCAACCAGTGGGCTACAAATGCACCAAGGAGGGGCAGGCATTTGGCCTAGCGGTTAAGATGCCTGCATCCCACATCGGGCGAGCTGGGTTTGATTCCTGGTTCTAGCCTCCTGTTAATGCACACCCGGGAGGCAGCAGGTGATGGCTCAAGTGCTTGGGTCCCTGCTACCCACATGGAAGATCTGGGTTGAGTTCCCAGTTCTCTGTTTCAGCCTGGACCAGCCCTGGCTATTGTAAGCACTTGGGGGAGTGAATGAGCAAGATGAGAGCCCTCCCACACTCTTTTTGCCTCTCAAATACATTTTTTAAAAATGCAGTAAGGAATGCAAAAGATGATAGATTCACAGGGCTTGGAGATACCTTTGTGATCCCACTGCCCAGCTCTCTCATTTTACAGATGGGAAGACTGAGGTTTAGACAGAATTAACTCAGCAAAGCTGTAAAGCACATAGGAGCAGACATAGGAATCTGGGTCTTCTTGCTCAGGCGCAACCATTCTCTTACCCACCCTCCACTGCCCCTCTGCCTGGAAGAGCTCAGCTGGGGCTGACTCTGTGTCAGCTGCTAGCCCAGTCTCCAGCCAGGCTCCCCTCCATGTGCAGCCAGCTCACGCCCACGCACAGGCTCCTGGGGAGGACCAGCAATTAGTTTTCATTGTGCTGCTCAGCACAACCTGCACCACAGAAAGACTGCGTGTTCCCAGCACCCAGATCAATGTGGGCTGGCAGGTGAGAGTTCCAGGGCCGGCCGGGGGGAAGCAGACAACAGACGGTCAGGGTCTGGGTCTTGGTGGAAAGCACCAAGTTGGAGGCAGGACCTCCTTCTGCCCAGCTGAGGCCACCCAGGGCTTCAGGGACCCTCAGGCCGCCCAGAGCCCTCACTTTCTGAGCACACTCAATCACACGGCCCCCAACAGTGAATTCACGGGTGTGACAGGGGCTGCAGGGGACAGCTGGTCCAAAGCTCAGGTGCACACCTGCCCCAACTCTACAGGCATGGAGCAAAGGCCCTGGCTTGTCCACCTGCAGACACAGCTGCGAGATAGCTCCATGAACTGAAGCCACATCTTGGAGCCCCACCCCCCCCCCGCCCCCAACCAGGGCATGGCCAATGGGCTGGTGACTGCCCAACCTCCCAAACCCTCTCCAGCAGGCCTTATAGATGCCCCAGTGGCAAGTGCCTCAGTGAGGGGTTTTCCCAGGACTCCTACTGACTGTGCCCAAGGAGGTGTATGGGGGGGGGGGTGGATCCTACAAAATGGTGACCTTGAAGGTGGAAGTGGGCACAGCATGCCCAGTGCTAGCAAGGAAAAACGTGGCCCACGGAGGGGTCTGGAGTAGCCTTCAGGGGCCCAAGCCCCCTGTTTCAGGGACTGGCTCCAAGGCCCTGCTCCTCAGCCCTGAGGACGGTGGCGCCTGCTGCTCATGTCCACCCCACTTCTTTTTCCCTGCTTCCTGTTTTGCCTCCACTGATAAGAACATGGGTCCTGGGAGGGAGGGAGTCTTGAGGGACTTGTCTCCTTCTCTGATACAAAATCGCTGGTGCCACCACTGTGCCTGGCCCTAGAGCACTCACACGGAACGGGCTCACTCAGCTGGCGTGATTGGTTAAAGACCACGTGACTCTGGCCCCTGTGGCCAATCAGGACGCTGCTTTGGCCTGAGAGTCCCTGGCGCCCTGGGGCAGGGTGGGGCTGCCGCGGAGCGCGGGGCACTCACTCAAGGACGTCCCGGTTGAACTGCTTCTTGCTGTTGCCCAGGAACTCTCCGATCATCTGGCGGCTGAGGCCCTTACGCTGCAGGAGGAAGTGGGCCACGCCGATGGGGGTGTCGGGGATGAAGCCGCGCGAGATCAGGAACTGGATGCCCTTGTCCGGGTTTCTGGAGTGGCGTGGAGGTGGAGGGGGGAAAGAAGCAGCAGAGTGAGCCAAGCTGGCCTCGGAGTCTTCGATAGCTACCTCCACGCCCATGCAGCCATGAAAAGTGCCTTCAGATCCTTGGAAACCGAGCTCTCGGGAAACGCCAGGATCCTGAATGCTGCACAGGTGCCCCCCCCCCCCCCCAGGGGAAGCATCTCTCGAACCTGAGGCCAGCCTCCAAGGCTTCCTTTCTGGGGATGGTGCAGGGGCCCAGTGTGGAGGTGGAGGAGAAGGGCCCTTCTCCATGGAGCTCCATTCCCCAGTGGCCCTTTCTCCCTGCCTGCAGTCTGGGCCAAATCCCCAGTCCCCACCTGGAGGCAGGAATGAGGGTAGGGAGACAGGTGACATCTCCCACGGGGCCCTCCTGTTCTTCCAGGCTGCTTTTCCCCTCTGGACTCTCCGTGTGTGGGTGTAGGGCTGTGTCTTAAGCAGATCCCTGCCGCTGCCTGAGCTGTTTCTTACCGCGCTGGGAGAAGGTAAGAATGGAAATAGAGGGTGAGCATTTGGAACCCTTTATGGCACGGTGTCATTTGCGGGACAGTTCACTTTTACCGTATTTTACAAGAGTATCAGCCACAACATATTGAGGTGGGGATACCAGACTGGTCCTTTGCTACCCATAGTTTGAGAAGCACTGCTGTTGAGTGGTACGAGGGTCTGGGGGTTTTCTTGAGCATGTGGCAATGATGCTGTGGGCGGGGGCGGCTGGGGGGCTTTCTCCCAGGATGCCAGCCAGGTGTGGAAGAACAGAGCAGGGATTTAGAGCCCCGCGTGTCTGGTCTCACGAGCTCACCTCGCCTGTGTGAGCCTGTTTCCTTGTCTGGAAAGTGGCATGGAAACGCCTGCTCTAGAGCCTGTTGGGAAGTTTGCAGATGCTGGGTGTCTGGGGAGCTCTGAACAGCGGCGACTGCCCCTAGGACAGGAGCTTCCTGAGCGCAGAGGATGTGCCTCACGCGTCATTGTGGTCACAACGCCTGGCACTCAGGAAATCCCAGTTGAAGGGATAGAGGAACACACAGGCGGGCAGCAATGATGTCATGTTCCTGGCTCAGGAGCAAGGCTGAGTGGAGGGTTCTGAGTGTCTTCTTGTACTTTTCCATGGGAGGGCGTGTGTGCTTCCTCTGCTTGGCACCGGGTGTATACATTCCTATCTGGTTGGGGACCTGAGCCCTGACAGTTGTTCACGGCTCTCCCCCAGGCGCCTTTCTCTCCTCGCCCTCTGCTTGCTCCATAACTCTCTTCCCTGTCTCCCCTCCTTCCTCCGTCACCCACTCTGCTCTCCAGCTCTCAACTCATCTCCTTTCTCCTGGGGTCTGCCGTGCCTGCACACCCTGCCCCTCATCTCACCCACCCCTGGAGGCCACCCTGCTTCCCCTGTCTTTATTTTCCACCTCAATGATTTCTGTGGTTCTTGCACTGCCTGGACTCTTATTTACGTAATATTAGATTTTCTTTTCAATTATTTTGATTTTCAAACAATAACAGTAGTACCAGAGTACTTCCATAAATTCATGCAGAAAGGGAATTAAAGAGAAGCTTATTTTGATGCAGAGTATTCAAAATCGATGCATATGAGGTCATGGGAAGTGCACACCACAAAAAAACACCATGAAATAAATTCTCTTAATTCCACTTTCCCACCAACTTTTTGGAGCACCCCAGTAGTTGTGAAAACATATGTTGTGTTATTTCGCCCGCCTAACCCTTCTTGAAATAAACCCAGCATGGTGAAAAAGAAAATGTGTGCTTCCTGGACATTATCTGGCCCCCCCCCACCCCAGGGAGGGCGGTGGGATATCTTGATGAACCACCCAGCACCCTGCTGGCTGAGGTGCGAGCGCACGTGTGTATATTATGTGTGTGGGGGTAGGGGGTGTCCCAGACCGTCCCAGGGCTCACGCACATGTTGAAGAGGTTGAGGCCAATGCGGTAGAGCCGCTTGCGCAGCGTGTCGGTGGAGAGCGTGGGCGACTTGCAGCTGGCCGGATTCTCGCAGTGGTACCGGGGCAGGCTCAGGATCATGGCCTGCAGCGCCTCTTTGGAAGCGGTCGCCGAGGCCTCGGAGCCCGACTTGGCCGATTTGGTGGATGTGCTACTGCTGCTCAGCTGCTCCGAGTGGTCGCCTACATCCGCCTCGGCCTCAGCCGCTCTGCACGCTTCCCCTGACTCTTCTTCCTCCTCCTCTTCCTCCTGGGCCTCCACTGCTGCGGCTTCCTCCGCCACGGCCTCTGCGGCCCCTGGCAGGGCCGTCCCTGCCTCTGCTCGCGGGTCCTCGGCGGGCGCGTCCCCCTGACCCGCAGGGGGCGTCTCTGGGGCCTCCTGCCCGGGATGCTCGCCCTCCTCGTTGGCGCTCTCCGAGGGCTCTGCGGCGGCCGGGGCAGCCTGCGCGCCCAGGCAGTTGGCCACCGACAGGGCCGTGGACGAGGAGACAGAGATGTTCTGGCTGGCGATCTGCACCGTGACGTCCCGAAACGCCATCATGAGGGTGCCGCTGTGACCCTGGGGCAGGCCCCCGCCTTCGGCGGCCTCCTCCCCAGGCCCTGGGCCCGCTCCGGAAAGCTCCCGGCTCTCGGCCTCCAGGCCCGGCGGCCCCGCGCCGGCGCGCAGGGCCTGGTGGATCTGGTACGCACCGCTCTCCTGCAGGGAGCACATGGTCTTGAGGCTCCAGGTGCTGAGGGCGTCGTCGATGGACTTGGCCAGGGACTGCACCTGCTCACTGAAGGAGTCCTCCAGCTCGGTGAGCGCGCCCGCCAGGCTGGGCGGCAGAGAGGGCGAGCGTCCCAGCGGCAGCCCCACGAGGCCGCAGCCCTCCATGAACGCCTTCTCGGCCGCCAGGCTCTCGGCCATGGGCGCCCGCACCTTGCGCAGGGAGATGCGCCGCGGCAGGCGGCTCTCCAGGAGCGAGTTGCGGATCTTCTCGAAGTTCTTGCTGAGCTGGTACTGGCGGAAGGCGGTTTGGATGGTGCAGGCGGCGCGCCGGGATACCAGGTGGCCCCCGTACTTGTGTTCTAGCATTTCAATCTGCAGCGGGGACAGAGATGGGGAAGGGCTCAGCAGGGGAAGGGGTGGCACCGTGCTCCCGAATGCTCCACCCACGGGGCGAGACCCCCGGCCACACTTGGGCAGGGCCCAGGAACGCAAAGCGGGGGACTCCTAGCGCCCAAATCTGGACTGCTGTGCTCCGGGGTTCTTGGCCAGGCTCCCAGAAATGCAGGATTTAGGGTTCCATTGTGGGACTTCTTGATGTTCCAAGGGGGCAAGGCATAGAGGAGCTACTGACGGTCTCAGACACGGCTGCTGGGGTGATTATTTTAAAACGTGCCGGTAGAGGCCCCGCGGCTCACTAGGCTAATCCTCCGCCTTGTGGCGCCGGCACACCGGGTTCTAGTCCCGGTCGGGGTGCTGGATTCTGTCCCGGTTGCCCCTCTTCCAGGCCAGCTCTCTGCTGTGGCCAGGGAGTGCAGTGGAGGATGGCCCAAGTGCTTGGGCCCTGCACCCCATGGGAGACCAGGATAAGTACCTGGCTCCTGCCATCGGATCAGTGTGGTGCGCCGGCCGCGGCAGCCATTGGAGGGTGAACCAACGGCAAAAAGGAAGACCTTTCTCTCTGTCTCTCTCTGTCACTGTCCACTCTGCCTGTCAAAAAATTAAAAAAAAAAAAGTGCCGGTAGAATTTTGACTCAGCAATTAAATTGCTGCTTGGGGCGCCTATATCCCGCATCCCAGCCCTTGGTTTGCACCCTGGCTCTGCTCCTGATTCCAGCTTCCTGCTAAGGTGCACCCTGGAGGCAGCTGGAGATGGCTCAAGCACCTGGGTCCTTGCCACCTACGTGGGAGACCTGGAGTGAGTTCCAGGCTCCCAGCTTCAGCTTGGCCCAGTCCCAGCCGTTATGGGCATTTGGGGGAGTGAACCAGCAAATGGGAGAGCTGTCTCTCTCTTTCTGCCTTTCAAATAAAATGAAAATAAATAAAATTTTAAACTGCTTGTGTCAGCAATGCACACAGCAATATTAACAGATGAAATGCATGTCTTGAATTTGCATTAAGATACTTTGCCCAAAAAAGTGGCTAGCTTAGACAGTATCATATTAATATTAATAAATATGGTTGACACTGGATGATGGCTGTGTTTATGACCGTTGATTCTACTTTTGTGCACCTTTAAAATAATAATGAAAAATTAATCAGAAATGTGGAAAAAATCTGCTGCTACTGCTGAGCACCTGCTGCCCCTGTCGGCACTGGTGCCACACACTGGCACCCTCCCATCTCCTGGGGAGCAGGATAAGGGTTGGAACTGGGATTTGGCCATCTCTGCCATCTCAGCACCCAGCCCAGGTCTGGCCTCTGCAGATGTTTAATAAATGTGAATTTAATGAAAAGATGGGTGGATGTCTCCAGAGTGGGAGTCCCCCCAGGCTACCCACAGTTACACTTCTCTTTGCCTCTGTTCTCCACAATGGGAGCTGCCCTCTCAGGACAGGGCAGGGCCAGCTGGATGCTGCTACCTCACCTGGGCAGGTCTGAGCCCAGGAGAGCATCTCATGGGCTGGTTTGTCCTTTGGGCTCCTCCTTGTCTCCTCTCAGGTCTGTGCCCCATGTCTGTGGCCTTTTCCCCCCTGAGGTGGCTCTGTCCTCATCTCTCTCTTTTATCAAGCCTTCTCAGGGAAGGGCTGGAAAGATACCCCCTCTCCGCGATGGATGAGCGAATAGCATTTAAGGCTGCCTGCAGGACAGTTTTGCATTTAAATAAAGGACAAGGCCCATGTGAAGGGGGTGGGCTTCATTGGTGGCCCATGGTCAGACTGTGATCAGAGAAGACTGGGACTTGAGAAAGTGTCCCCGGCCTTGAAATCAGGTCCCCCTGTTCACAGCCACCTTTCCCCTGCATGCTTGTGGCTCCTGAGCTATGAGTTGTGATGGGATAGGGGAGGGCTGAGCTTAGCCACTCAAGGCGAGAATGACATCTTCATGGTCACACTGGGATGTGGGATGGCACCCCACAGCACAGGCACCCTCTTATAGAAACAACTCCAACCCTCAGGGACAATCCCGGGTAAACTGGGCCACCTCAGTGCTTGTCTGCAGCTCTTCCAACCTTGCCATTTCGGTGCCCTTTGCCATTCCTACACCTAGAGACATCAGGTGTCCATCTCCACATTCACCCCTGCTCCCTACTCCATGGGGCTCTAAGCAGCTCTTTAGAATAGGTGTACACGGCCCACAAGGCCCCCTGTCTGACTTTCCCAAGAAGTCTGTTTTTCACAGGGTACAAGGCCCTAAGCAGAAGCTGGCAGCTCTGCCCATGGTGTCAAGACCCTTATGTGTTCAAGGTCTTCAGGGTGCTTTTGAAGAACCCACCAGTGTTCATATCTATTGCTGCAAATGTGCCAACGCTTACCAGCTCCAGTTCACACCCATGTCTCTGTCCTCAGAGTTGTGCGTGTTGGCAGCCTGGGCACAGCTCAGCTCGGCTCTTTGCTTGGCGTGTCAGCAGGCTGGCATTAAGGTGCCTCTGTATGTGGGCCTCTCAAGCTCACTGTGGCCAGCAGAATTCAGCTCCTCGCCAGACTGCAGGCCTGAGGCTCTCGGGTCCCAAAGGCCGCCTTGCTGCCCCCTGCTACATGCTCCTCTCTACTACGTGGTGGCCTGCTCCTTCAAAGCCTATACGAGAGTGACTCTCTGAGCCATGGCTTCTAAAACTATTATTTATTTGTCTGAGGGGAAGAGAGAGGGATCCTACTTACTGGTTCTCTCCTCAAATCCTGCAGCTGGGGGAAGGAGGGCCCAGGGCCTGGAACTGGAAACTCAATCTGGATCTCCCACATGGATGGCAGGAATCCAAGGGTCTGCATCAGCAGGAAGCTGGATTCAGGAGCCTGAGCCCAGAATTGCACCCAGGCACTTTGCCACGAGACAGGAATGTCTTAACTACGAGGCCCAACACCTGTCCCCTTTCCCTTTAAAGGGCTCACTTAAAACATTTAAAAAATATATTTTCATTTTATTAGGAAGGCAGAAGGAGTCAGAGAGGGAGCTCCCATCTGCTATTCACTTCTCAAATGCCTTCAACAGCCAGGGCTGATTCAGGCCAAAGCTGGGAGCCTAGAACTCAACCCAGAGATCCTACGGGGGTGGCAGCAAACCTAGTACTTGAGGCAGCCTCTACTGCCTTCCAGGCTACACATAAGCAGGAATCTGGGTTGGAAGTGGAGGAGCCGGGACTTGAACCAGGCACTCCTGTATGGATTGTATGCACCCCAAGCATCATCCTAACCATTGTGCCAAAAGACTGCTCCTAACAGGTTCACCTGATGAGGTCAGACTCACCAGGATGCTCCCCTTTTTGGATAATTCAAAGTCATCTGATTGGTCTCCTCGTTCTGGGAGGGATAGCCTGTGATATTCACTAGTCCCCTCCACACTCAAAGGGAGTGGGTTCTAGAGCTGCCTTAGAATGCTGCTTGCCACACCAATTGGACAGTTGCCAGGTTGCTTTCTCAAAAACGCATGGAAAAATAGAGTTAAAAGGTACATTGGTTTCTGTACAAAAACTGTTTTGAGATCCATGCATAGGTTTTTTTTTTATAATATATATTCTCCATGAACTTTTAAAATGAAAAACCTATGTATGGGTTCCAAGTTTTGCTTTTTTTGCACCCAGCCGATTCCCCTTTTTCCATAAACTTTCTGAAGTACCTTCACGGAGAGCTGCCTCGGAAGCGTTCTGCTCCTGCTCAGGCAGAAATCATAGCAAAAGGAAGAGAACACTGAACTTGGCTCATTCTCTTGCTGAACTCTGGAAGGGAGATCTGTCCTTAGCTTAGGCAGGAGAGTCCTCCAAGCGCAAGCGCAGAGAGAGGGGGACTGCTGAGCGCTTAGATGCCTCCTTCTACCCAATTCCTGTCTCCCTTTGGCTGGAGCTATGCAGGCACCATGAGAAACCGACACATGCACTTCACGTCTCTTTTGCACCTGGCCTGTTGGTCGTTTAAATTCAGGACCAAGAGCATTCCTGGGAACACAGGGAAGATAGGCGATCCACTGCCCAAGGAGTGACCCCCATAGTAAGGGGCCATCCTCATGTTCTGCTGCCGTCCCACTTGGAGGCAGAAGCCTGGGTGAGGTTAACCCCGTAGCCTCCTGCTACACTCAGTGTCTATGTTTCACCCACATGGAAAAGAAAACCAGAGTTTAAATCCTTAGATCTGTCCCATCAGCTCCGCCACTAGACTTTAAGGCCCAGGGAGGCAAGAGACTGCCTGCCATGGTCACTGCCTCACCCCAAATATGTAGACAGTGTACAAAGGAGGTCTTTAGTGAATGAATATATATCACATACATTAGAGAATTAATTCCAAAGTTGTCCTTGCAACTCTCAGAATCCTCCCTCACATGAACCATAGCTCTTCTCTCCCAGGGTGGAGGAGCTGACCCCTACCATCTGACTTGCATTTCCAGTCTCTGCCCTTCAATGTGCCACTTGCCACGTGCCTGCAGACCCTCCCAGATCTCCCCCGACCAAGCCATAGCTCTGCTTGACTTCCCAGCCTCTGCTATGCTAACCCAATCTCTTTCTATTTCTATTGGTCCGCTTGGAAGGCCCGCCTACCCTCTGCCTTGCCCCATGAGCAAATGGCAAGCCCCGATCCAGCCCCGGATGGCCTAACACCTTGCACTCCGGCTCCTCTCCTGCAAGGCTCCTGAAATGGCTTTCGGAAAGGTCAGCAGTGACCTTCTTACCACCAAAGCCAATGGCCCACCCTCAACCTCTCTCCCTTCTGCAGCTCTCGATCTTTCTGCCACCAGCTTGCATGACTCCGTCTTGGTTTTCCTGTCTCCATGCAGCTCCTTAATCTCCATTCCAGCTATAGAATCCTGAAGTGTGCTGGTTACAGGTCACATCAGTGCTGGCTCCCACTTTCCACACATAGTGTAATTATTTCTTTTCTTTCTTTCGTTGTTTGTGTGGGTGGTTCTCTATTTTTTTTTTTTTGACAGGCAGAGTGGACAGTGAGAGA